CATTGTTTAAAATATGATAATATTGTGTTTTATTAACGAAATAAAATATATTTTTTATTAAAATATAAACTTAGAAAATATTTAATAATTAAAAAATAGTTGTGTTTTGTGTTGAGAGATATATTCTTAGATTCAATAAGTTTTGTTTGACATGAATATGACATGAATAACAACAATATAGATTGAAAATACTTGTTATAAAATATTATTCTTAAATCTTATTATTCTTTACTATTATTTTGTGTGTTATTAACTATTGTATAGCAACTGATATAATGGCGACCAATGGCTCATCCAATGTGTCTGAAGTGCGGATCAATGGTCACAACCAAACGAATTATTCGCTTCAGTCGATAGTCAATGAGTTTTTATGTTCACAATTGGCTCTCAAGGGTTACAACTGGTCTCCAGAAGTGGTGGCCAACGGTGTCCACAACGCGGCCGACGACTCCCATAACAACCAATCATTTAATTTGAGTCAAAGGACTAAAATAGTGGACGCGTTGAAAACATTGGGCCGCAAATACGTGCGTTTATATGAGGGCCGGTTGTCGGCGCTGTGCGAGCGCCTGGCATTGACTCCGTGGACGGCAACGACCACTTCGACAGCGTTGCCAGCGGGTTGTTCGCCGAAGGGATCAAATGGCAACATATCATCACTTTCCTGGTCTTCGGCGCTGAGTTCGCATTCAATTGCGTTCAAAACGGTTTCCCATATCTGGTGAACAAAATCTCCCATTTGGTCGCCGCTTATGTCGCGCAACACCTGAGCCAATGGATCCGCGATAATGGCCACTGGGTTTGTGTCCATCACTTTGTAACCCCCCGCTCAACCCCCCACTCTCGCGCCTTCTTCACTCTCTCTCTCTCTCTCTCTCCCTATTAATGAGCACTTAATTCATACAATGATTACAATTAACACTCATTTCTCTGTTTGCAATCCACAGGAATATGTGACTGAGTTTGTGGGCCGACAAAGTGGTTGAGGGCCACAACGGAGCGGCCGGTGCTCTCGGGTTCACTTTTGGCCAAATGTAACAAAAGGTGTTCATTCAAGAGGATCAAGAATTGGGCATGATCAAATCTGATTCTTTTATCACGTATAATTTGTAACTTTTTTTTATGACATTTTGTAACACATTTTTATGTAAACAATACGCTTTTGAAATTATTTTCTAATTATCTTTTATACAAATTTTAGAATTAATTTTAGATTATATTTTCATAACTAATTTCTATGTAAAACAGCATTTTGTTGATAGAGATTCAATAAAGTTTGATTGATTTGAACACTAAACTTGGTAAATAAATAACACATACATTAATTTACATCTATTAAGCATTGGTTATGTAAACATTGCAAATTAATTTATTACAGTGATATAAATTGTATTGCATTGATAGATGTGTTAATTACAATGTTAACATTATAAATTACATACATGTAGATGTAAATGTAATAAGTTATATTGGTAATACACTGAAATTAATGTGTATAAACAACTTTGTTTACACATAAATTGATGATGATGCTACATCTGTGACAGGTTGCATGTTAATAATGCTAAAATGAGTTGAAATTCCTATTAAGGTAAACATTTTTACATTGATTATAAATACAATCAGTATTTAATGAGAGACAACTGTATTATTATTTCAAATATTAAATTTATATTAACCATATTGTTTTTGACAAAAAATTAATTAATAATTGTATTGTTAGAAATGTGCATGACCAAATGCAATGTTGTTCAAATCGACCCTGATGAGTTGGCAAAGTTTTTAATGTCACATAAAGCGGTGGACGACGCGGTGGTGGTCGGCATTAATAACCGCATTGGTTTACATTGGCTTAGAGCGTACGTGGTAATCAAACAAGGTCATACAATAGCCCATGGTGAGCTGGAAAAATATGTATCAGGTAGGTTTTAAAAAATATAATTTGAAAGATTTTATCGAATAGTAAGGTAAAGTTATATACAATTACTCAATAAATGAGTTTATATTAACAACTTATGCATTTACAATTATTTACTAATTTAAACTTGTGGTCAATGTTATATTTGATGAATAGGATATACCTTAATATGCGATAAACTCTTTCATTTAATAGAGTTTGCTATTTTTGATAGGTTTATAACTTGTATGTCTGATGAGTCTAATAAACTTTATAATTTTAATTAAATTAAGTTAATAAAAGTTAATCAGTTTTATATTGAAAAATGAAACATATTTTAAATTGTAATTAATGTAATTATGAATTATAAGTTATTATTTATAAAAAGTGTAATTTAATAAAGTTTTAATTATTTATTTTCAGAAAACAACCCTGGTTATAAGCACTTGGAGGGAGGGGTAGAGTTTGTGGACTGCATTCACACCACTATAATTGGCAATAGTGTACGAAAATACTATAGAAATATAGTGAATAGCGATCTGAGCGGTTAATTTACATTATACCGATATGTTGGCCACGTATATAATCATGCTCACATGTAATACTAGCTGTGATATTATTTTATTTTAAATAATTTATCTAATATTTAATTTTTTAACACCTGTTTATAGTAATTTCTTTTGTGTTTTAATGAATACAATAATTATTGTTTTCATTAAATGACATTTTTACCTAGTTTATTAGTTGATATAAATTGATTGTGAATGCAAATAATGATAGATATTTCTAATAACATGATTGTTATAATTTGCAATTAATATTTGTAAATTAATTGCATTTTTATTAGAAATTTATTTGCTATATTTATATGTAATATTATTGAAAAATAGTTTAATTTTTTATTTATTTATTAAAAATTTGTTTAAAAATCAATTCACTTATTATTAAATTTATGTCATTTGTAGTTGTTATATTTCAACTAATTAATAAAGTGAAAATATACATCTATTTTAATTATTCTTTATTTGAATTGATATATTTTTATGACTCCTTTGCCAAACAAAATAATGTCAAACTTATTAAAAATGTTTTTTTGTTTAATTCCAGTTATATTTGAAAAAGTAATTTTAATACAATGCAAACGTTTAATAAGAAACCAATAATTTGTATATAAAAGTGCTTATTATGGAGAGGGTTTCAGTAAAAACGTTTAATTTTTGATTAATTTTATTAATTATTTAAATGATTAAAATAATAAGTAATATTAGTTTGGATAATTTATTTTAACATTATAAGTAGAAAAAATCAAACAAATATTTTAATTCAGTTGTTTATAACCAAGGTTTACTAACAAGTAAGAGAAGTTTCACCAAGAGAGGTTGCACTGTAATACAAAATGCAATATTAAACTTAATAAATCTAGGTGTATTGCTGAACCAACATTAATTCCAAGAATATATTAGCTTTGTCACATCAATTCATTTTGTTTACATTTAATTTAAATATAACAATATGTACAATATTACCTGTACATGTACATATAATAATCAAATTTATTATTAACTGTTACACCCTAATAACGTGTCATTATAATACGGCTACAGTCCAATTTTAATTAAATCCTGTCAAATTTAATCAGCAATATTTAACCACAATTCAATATGAATAGTGTGTCTTATATGAAATTTTTGTTATTTCTTCCCTACCCTATTCAACATGAAATTATATTTAGCGATGTGTACTATAAAAGCGTGAGCCCATACAGTGTATGTCACACACTATACTTATTGCATAAATTCATTGCACTGAATGCATAAAAATAATAAATATAAATAATTTAAAATTGTTTTTAATTAGTATTTATTTAATCTTTAAACATTATTAAAATTACAAATTGTTATCTATAATTATAATAATGATTTGCATTTGTATTTGTTTTAATAAATGATTTTTAAAATTGGTTGAATTTCTGACATATCAATATTAAAAGTATTCTAACAATATAATTAAAAATTTTCATTCTTATCCCGAATAAATTATTTCGAATATTGTTTAACTAATAATATTGCTGGTCAACCTTGTTTTATAATAAATTTCAAATAAATAGATAACACTTTATTAGAAATATATTTATTGCAGTCATAATCAGACATCAAATGAAATAGCATTTCAAATAGTTTAGTACTTGTATTTAAATAATAAACACCAGGATTTAATAAAGGTCAAATAATTTTATCCAATTGTTAAGCATTGATTTAACTAAAACTTAGTTATTTGAATCCACAACAAATACTTCAGAAATAATATATAATATGAATCTCGCAAAACGTATAATCAACTTTATTATTATAATATTATATATGATCTACAATTTTATTATTAAAATATCAAGTATGATCTACAACTTTATTATTAAAATACCAAGTATAATCTACAACTTTATTATTAAAATACTAAATATAACCTACAACAATAAATTAAAAATTATATCATACGTGATATGTTTTACAGGATGTTTATATCAAATACTGGAAATAAGTTTCATTTACTTCTCATACGAAAACATTACTTATGTTAAATTAGATACTGAATCTATACTCCGTGTGCCCGCAATAACACTGTGTTTTCCCAAAGAAAGCCTGGAAAACGATATAGGTGGTATTAATCTAAATACACTATCTCTAAATGAACAATTACACATTTCTCAGACATGGATTAACAAACATTTCATGTGCCAAGTATTGGACGATAGTCAAGGCAAGAAAAACTGCTCAGTAGTCACTGACTATATTCATTCAATAGATGGTGAAGTCTATTGTGTTACATTATTTTCTAAATGGAGCACAAACTATACTGGTAATTATAAAAAATCTGGAAATTATTATTTTAGTTGGTTTACTTTCAATAGTCAAAACAGTTTTACAAATAGTACAATATTTATATACATACGCTCTAATTTGGACAAAATATTTAAACTTAACACTACAGATTCCGTTACTCTAAACATTAATCTAGGCAAGACTGAAATGATAAAATACAGAAAATATACTATCGTAAAACAACATATGATAAACAATGGCGTTAAATGTTTTAATAATGGTGAAACACGTCTATCATGTGTTGATAAATGTTATATTGACAAATACCTAGATGAATATTCTTCATACCCAAAGGATTATTTATATACAAATACGGATATTAACTTTAACCGTAATAATCATAAATATAATTTTACTGATCACAATGAAAATCATTTTATATATGAATGCGACAATAATTGCAATCAAATGAAAGAATGTATTGAAAACATTTATACAATTGACAAAACAGAGTTAGATATGAAAAACAAAAAGAACACTAAAAACAATAAAGTCAAAACATATCAGGTCAGTTTTAAAATACCATCTGAGCCCGAAATGATTTACATAATTACCAGAAAAATTATGTTTGAAGAGTATGTATGTTTTATGGGCAGTATTTTCGGCATGTGGTTCGGCTATAATATATTGCTATTAACAATGTGTTTAAAACAATTGTATACAATGAATGTGTTTAGTAATTGTGTTAATCATCAAAACATTAATAACCAAACGATCAATAATATCACCACTAGACCGACAGCACGTATACACCCCTCAAATCGACCAGTAGTTAAGCACTCGTCGCGTCGTCAAGTCGTCCCCCGATTAACAAATAATTACTTAATTTAAATATAATTTTTTATAACGATTTAGTTATTTGTCTTGAAATATGTACGTTCAGTACATGCACGTATAATTAAAGTAACTGCAAAAATTCAATTTATTGTAAATATCTAAAATTTAAGCAATTATAGTTTATATCTATTATATTATATACACGCATAATTGTTTAAAAAAGTACGAATACTAAATAATTATTATAACAAATTATTAATTAATAAAAATATATTATTTAATATCATATAAAGTATACAATTAATTAGTTATTAAATTGTTATTTTACAAATATAATTAGTTTTAAATTTATTATAATTAAATAATAATTAGATTTTAAAAATAGTTATCAGTATATTTAACTCGTTAACATTAGCATTTATGCTTTTATAATATTAAGTGATTCATTGATTGGGGCACAGTCATGTGGGTGCTCGCTCTCACTTATATGTATTTACCAATATATGGGGATGCAGGGTTGTTGTATTGTGCCAACCTTGGTATAATGGCATTTCCGGTTGGCATACTATTGGACAAATTGTCACATAAATATTTATTCACCCTGAGCATCATAACATCGGTACATCTAGCCTACTTCTCTACCTATTTAGCACCTATACATCTGTTACTATGTTACTATTAGTCTGGATTAATAGTAAGATGAATTAGTATTATAGACTATAATGTACTATTATGTAATAATAAATATACTATAAACTAGACATGCCACTTTTCCTATTTTTCAATTCTCTTCCCTTTTCCCTTAAACTATGCAAAGAGGGAATCCTTTCCCTTCCCTCTACAGGCAACAGGGAATCCCTCATTTTCCCTTTTAATTATTTTCCCCTCTTTTTCCCTTAAAAGTCACAGCAAATAATGATATAAAAGCGTGTTTTCACTAAAATACAGTGCATTGCACATACAGTGTGTAATATTGTTTTAAAAACAATTCCCTACATACTTCAATTCTTTTAATACCTATTTTTTTAATAAAAACTATTCTTAAATTGCAGGGAATTAAAGGGAAAAAGAGGGAAATTTTCTATAAGGGATTCCCTTTTTGTGTAAGAGGGATTCCCTTCCCTTCCCTCTTCACTTATTTTCCATTCCCTTTCCCTCTTTT